CCTGATAACAGATTTTTGGTCATGCTGCCCCTTTAAAACTTTATGTTTATAATTCAAAAATTAATGAGAAACTGATTTGAGATGTGCCCTGGAGATCTTCCACTATGCTTCTTTTTACTTTTATTTCCCAAATCCTACCTATAATAGGCTCCAGAGTGAGAATTGCTATCCCTAAGCTTGCAGGTGACATGGTTTCCAGTATCTTCAACCTGCCTCTGAACAATGCATCAAGAAGGGTTGTTGGGATTTTTAGGAATGGCCTCTCAATTCTTTGATGGATCTACGACTTTTCAATGTAGGCATTCTGTCCAGATCATAGGCCAGCCACACTTTCTTAGTCCCTACTGCCTTGGTCCATGTTCTCCCACAAATCTCTCATTGATTCTACATGCTGAAGATCTTCCTTTAGGTCAAGGGTTCTTAAACTGGGATCTGACAACTTGTTTGAAAAATTTTTCAAAAACTGTCTATCAGGATGACTTGTTTCCTTTGTATTTCTATGTATTTTGTTTTATGCATTTAAAAATAATATTTTTAGAAAGCTTTCTGTCACCCCCCAAAAGTAAAGAATGCTTGCTCTACATCGCTTGTTGCCTGCATACTACTGGCACACAGGCTGTGTCCTCATTTATTTCTTATTCTTCTGACATTATAAACCCATCTCTTTTTCTGGTTTGATACTTCTGTGATGATATCCTTTACATCAGGAGTATTAAACTTGAGGTAGGCCACATGGGGCCAGCCAAACTGGTGGCCTGAACCAGATGAAAATATAAGTGGAGAAAGTTAACAGAGTGGAATTTTTTTCTAACGTAAACCTGCAGAAAGATGTTTTCCTCACAGGTCTGTAGTAGCCAAGCCTCTGATCTGTGTGTTTCGGCATTGTAAAGATAATTTGTAGCAGATAGATGACTCGTTATTATGTATTCCATCATACTTCACATACTGTTGCTCTGACCATCACTATTTTATAAGATGTCAATAATACAAACGTCATTAATACATAAGCAAACAATATAAACAAACAGTAATTTTGTAGAACTTCACTATTCTCCATTCACCACCATTGTGGAACTTTATCACTCAGTGAGCTGCTATTTTTAACATTGCTCTTTTAGAACTAACAGGTCCCTATGACATATCACTTATTGCTCTGCTTTCAGAGAAACTTTTAATGTTAAATGAGCTCTATAAGGACATGCAAGAATGACTGGAAAAAAAACTGGATTGGACCTTAGGTCGTCAGCTAGAGGAAAGGGCTACAGGGCATCTGAAGGAGTAGATAAAAAACTGAATTCAGAGCCAGCAGATTTGAGTTTAAGTGCTCATATCTCCCACTCATTAGCTATATAACTTTGAGCAAATCACTTTACTTTTCTCCAAAATAATTTTATTGGATTAGATGACCAATAATGTCCTTCCGATTCTATGATTCTATGAAGGAAGGAGTAAATTAGAGGGAGGTAGGCCAAGAAATATGGTAATAGAACTAGAAATGCATTCAGAACAACTTCAGCCCCTGGCCTTTTGGGCTTCTCAGGAGATATATAATCCAGTGAAACCCTGAACTACAGGAGTCTAGATCACGTCAGGGTTAGAGTTCAGCACACGGTCCCAAAAAGTGTTCCCAAATAATAGTTGTGCATTTGAAATTCTTCCTTACACATTAGGTGTATAAAAATCTCTTGAAGTGTGTTATATTTTTCTTTTGATGTATTTTCTCATAGCTATTTTCTCAGGTAGTAAATAGAGTGGCATAGTGGGGGAAAAGAGTAATGATTTCATCTTTCAGAATGATACCTTTCTAGAAATGAGGAAGTCCAGGAAATGTAGCTGGATGAGAAATTATAGGGATGATTCCATGGTTCCCACCTTTAAATGGAGGAGGATGTCCCTCCCAGATGTCTGTCTCCCACCTCCTCCAACCAGAGAGAAATAGAGGGGGATCTGGGAATGGGTGGGGCTAAGGAGGTGTCAGTTTCCATATTGATTTCCTGTTGCAGAATGATGGGATTCTTGACATCATGAAGTCCAGGAAAGATCTTAAAAATCTTTACTGACTTTAGCCTCTTTAGCTTCTTAGAGTCAACTCTATTACTTGCTTTAGATGTCTAGTAGCTTCTCAAATCCTTTTTTTTTTCTCTATGAAACAATCAACACACATTTGTGTAGGGGGCAGATTGCTGAGGATACAAAAACAAAAGCAAGGTTATTCTTGGTCTGTTGTTGTTTTCGTTGTTTTTCAATCTTATCTTATTCTTCATGACACCCCACCCACACCCTGGGGGCAGGGGTTCTTGGCAAAGGTACAGGAGTGCTTGGCCATTTCCTTCTCCAGCTCATCTTACAGAGAAGGAAACTGAAGCAAGCAGGGTTAAGTGACTTGCCCAGGGTCACAAAGTTAGTAAGTGTCTGACCCCAAATTTGAATTTAGAAAGGTGAGTATTCCTGACTCCAGGCCCAGTGCTCTATCCAAGGAGCCATGAATCTGCCCAGATCTGGCACAGCAGCACCTTACTTATTTCTTGGATAAAATACAAATTCATCTGTTTAGCTTTTAAAGTCTTTTTATAATCTGGCTCCAACCGACCTATCCAGGCTTAATATGCATTATTCTCCTTCAAACACTCTATGGTCCAGACTTGCTGGTTTTCTTGCCCTTGGATAAGTTGGCTGATGTGACTGTTCTGATCCTGTGGCATATTGGAAAGGCCATAGAATTGAAGTCAAGAAAATCTTGGTTCTAGACCTGGCCCTGCCACGATTAAACTGGTGTGTGAACTATTGGCAAGGCATCTTGACTTCCCTTGGTCCTAATGTCTTCATCTGTAAAACAAGGGGTAGGAACACTTGATTTATAAAGTCTCTTCCATGTGTAACATTTTAGAATCAATGATGTATTTATTTCATTTTTCTCTCCAAAATTATTATAAACTGTTCTCTGAGGATGGAGAAAATGGCATTTACACTTTAATTAGACCATTTTCTTTAGGTCACAACAACTAACATTCTAACTTTCCAGACTCCTCCTAAGCAGTTTCAAAACTTTATTTCATCAAATTTGTTAATGTGCTTAATATTGTAGTTTTAAACAATTATTATTTCTTCTCAAGAGCCAATTTTACAGTGTTAATTGAATGTATAACACAGTTATTATTTCTTAATGTCTCAGGCATTTGTCACAGGGTTTCCCTCCCAAATTTATACTTTTCACTAGTTATTTTTCCAGTTACTAGGTAATATCTATATTTATTCTAGCATTATATCATTAGTAATGGAATTTTAATTTGTAATTTAAGTAGGATTCTCTGGCTGGGTTAAGAGAGCTACTTTATCATTTGTGATGGTGAAGTCAATCAAGTCTTAGAGATTTTAGGCTTATATAAAAATAGTGAAAAAAATCTTTTCTTTTATCATGGAAAAATTTCAATTACATTTGAAATGCTTATTAAGTGCCTGTTGTGTATAATACCCATCAAAAAAAGGGATTTTCCTATTTGGGAATGTTTTCAAGTCACTTGAAGTTCTCAGCTATCAGCAGTAGCTTGGAAAAGTGGTAAAGGGCTAACCCTGGAATTAAGAAGACCTTGGTGTCAAATGTGACCATGGGCAAGTCACTCCAACCTTCATTGTCTCAGATAACTCCATAAGACTTTAATCAACCAATCATTTATTAAGTGCCTACTACATGCTAGGTACTAGGAATATAGAGACAAAAATGAAATAGATATTTACTCTCAAGAGAGCTAACGTTCTATAGGGGGAGACAACATGTGCGTATATATAAGTCTAAACCAAATGATTACACGAGGTAATTTATAGGGAGAGGTACAAACAACAGGACAGTGATCAGCACACAGGTATCATAGAGAAGGTGGCAAAACTTAACTTGAATTAAGTTTTGAAGGAAAATAGAGATTCTAAGCAATAAAAATGAAGAGGTAGTACAATCTGGGAATGGGAGACAGTCATTTCCAAAACACAGAAATTGAATTTCCATACTGAGAGTTCCTCATGTTAATGAAATCACATATTCTTTCAAACTTCTCCTCCCCCCCTCCCACTCACACGACCAAACTTTAAACTAACTCCCTTGACAAATTGAATAGCCACTAGGCTGTGTTAGTACTGCGCAAATTTGGTAGACCTAACTATATCTATCTATTAGGATGGGAGGGAGGGGGTACATTTAAATTTATTATGCTCTTGGGCAGACAAAGATTGCAAATGTGGTGATAGTTATATGAAAAAAAAAATTCAATCCCCCTACAGCAACGTCTTTGGAATGGCATCTCCCAGCTCTTCTGATACTTCTGAGAGCTTTTGAAGAGAATCTTATTGCTTTAAAAAATCATAATTCATCTTGCAAATCATGCTTAGAAGTTTAGCCACCTGCTATGAATCTAATTTTTAAGAAGTACCTGTGTGAGGGATAGTGTGGCAAATCCTTCATGGGTGAATTGAGCATTCATTCTCAACTGACTTTCTGATGGCAAAAAGGTCTTTGGATGACAATCTTCTTATGTTGACACATATAGTGCCCAGTTTAGCCACCCTGCTGCAGACAGCCTGACAAACAGCACAGTTACTGTCTTCCTTGCTGAATGCCCAAACAGTAGAGAGAAAATAGCAAAGGCATTCACAGAGTGAGCCTCCACCTCAGCTGACCTTTCATTTTGCCCATAAGAAACAATAACTAGCAAGGCTTTTGTGGTTTAAGGAAGAGATTCATTTACCTGAATGCCTGCTTGAGAGCACAGATCCAATAGAGTGGATATGGCAAATATGAATCCTACGCAAGGCAGTAACAAAAGGCCAAATACCAGATCTTCAATAGCCCGAGACCTGGATTGACTTAAGTCTTGATAAGTGATATCAGATGGAGGGTTGACTGTCTTCTTGTATCTCGTCCACTGAACTCAAATTATTCTCATTCTCTCTCTCTCTCTCTCTCTCTCTCTCTCTCTCTCTCTCTCTCTCTCTCTCTCTCTCTGTTACAGGACATATGTGAAGACATCTCTGATCACGTCGAGCAAATCCATGCCCTCCTAGAAACTGAGTTTTCCCTGAAGCTTCTGTCCTACTCTGTCAATGTGATAGTTGACATCCACACAGTCCAGCTCCTCTGGCACCAGCTGCGGGTCTCTGTTCTGGTTCTGAGAGAGCGAATTCTCCAAGGATTACAGGACGCCAATGGGAACTACACCAGGCAGACTGATATCCTGCAGGCTTTCTCTGAAGAGACAACAGAGGTATGTATGGCTCTTTGATAGGGAGAAGTATTCTTTAAAGCTTCCCTGTTGTGAAGTGTTTTTAAAGTTAGGACCATGAAAGAAACAGTTTTTTTTCCAGTTAATTTTTACATGTAACTTTGGGCAAACTCCTTACAGTTTTGTTGAGTTGTCTCAGTTGTCTTCGACTCTTTGTGACGCCATTTTGGGTTTTCTTGGCAAAGATACAGGAATGTTTTGCTATATCCTTCTCCAGCCCATTTTATAGATGAAGAATTGAAGCAAACAGGGTTAAATGATTTACCCAGGGTCATACAGCTACTAAGTATCTGAGGTTGGATTTGAACTCATGAAGATGAGTCTTCTGATTCCAAGCCCAGTGCTTTATCTACTGCACCACTTAGCTGTCCTAAATTCCTTAAAAACCTTATTATCTTAATTTCCCTGTTCCACAAAAAGGAAAGGCGAGGAAAGAGTCTGGTGATTTTAAGGGTGGTATAGACATCAGAGAGGTCACCTAGGGTATTGGATTGAGGACCTAGCCTTCGAGTCAGAATGATCTGTGTTCGAGTCCTGTATCTGACACACATACTAACCATATGACAGTTGGCAAGTCAGGACCCTAGGTGATTTTCTAAGGCTATAAGTTACAGACAAGTTGGTAGTCTGTACTAGTAGAAGGAATTCCCACCTCAGCAGTGAACTTCTATCCAGATGAAATTTAGAAAAAATGATGAAAAATAAGCTAATTATTATAAAGGATTTTGAGATCTAGGTGAAAAAGTGATATATAATTGTGTGTGTGTGTGCACCCGTGCACACATATACCAAACTTCCATATTTACAGAAAATTCACATACTTATTGTTTCGGTCGTTTTGTGGCGAAAGGCATAGCCCAGAGGATATTTTTGCAACTGTGTGATGTGTGTATCTATGTGAGTACGTATGTATGCATGTGTGTATTTGGATGCTAAGCATATTGAATACCTACTTGTCTTCCACGGGTACTGATTCACTTTGTTAGCCTACAGTCTCTCTACTTCCCAACCCTTGATCTATGAACCTAAGCCTGAAACAGCTCAGGAGCCTCAGAAGATGAACCTAGAGTCTAGATTACATCGTTCTTAAATGGGAAAGGCCCCAGTGCCTATCTCTGTACTTAAATATATGAATTTTCACACAGAAGGAACCACGGAGGTCGCCAAATCCAAACCCTTCATTTGAGAGGTAAGGAAACTGAGGCCCAGAGAGGTGAAATAAGAGAGGTTAAGCATCGCCCAAGATTATGTGAGTAATAAGGAGCAGAGCGGAGATTCAAACCTACATCCTCTGACTCTAAATTAGTATTGCCAAATTCAAACAGAAGCAGAGGCCCCTAAACCATTCATAAGCATCTCTACAGGACCCAGGTTGACTTAGTTTTCAAAGGTACCGTTATCTATGCTTCATTATGTTTTTATTTATTTTGTTAAATATTTCCTCATATTTAACACTCAGCACTGCTGCAGGCTGGTCTTTGGCATTTCTATTCCAAATCATTCCTCTGGGCCCCACTGGGGCTGGCCTTGATATTCAGTGGTATTCTCTTTGGGCAGTGGTAGACCTGAAGATTCTGATTCAGACTTTAGCTTTTGGGTTTATGGCCTAGAAATGACTGATGGCCTAAGTGACATAAATATTGTGACTTCTGACACTTAGCGACAGCGATAAAGTCGCAGCTGGGGTTGGAAGTCTATGATGGTATAGATCCTCACTCTTTCCCCCCGCAACTTTAGATCTTCATGTGTGCTGGTCTCTGTGCTTTTTGTTGTTGTTCAGTCATTTTTCAGTCAAGCCTGACTCTTCGTGACCCCATTTGGGGGCTTATTGACAAAGATAAAAACTGGAGTGGTTTGCCATTTCCTTCTCCAATTCATTTTATGGATGAGGAAATGAAGGCACACAGGGTTAAGTGAATTGGCCAGGATCATATAGCAAGTAAGTGTCTGAGGCTAGATTTGAACTCAGGAAGATGAGTCTTCATGACTTCAAGCCTGGCACGATCCACTGTGCCATCTAGCTGCCTTGTGTGTGTGCTCTACTATGGTGATGTCAGTGTTGTAGTTTTCCTTGGTACCTTTATATGGCTATGTGCCCTGACAAAGTTACTGATGCTGACTAAGATCCTAGAGGAGAGTGGCTGTGGGAAGGACCCTACAGAATCCCTTAAGCGTTTACACTCTGGTGTCTTTTTTTCACTCATATTGTTGCCACTTAGCTCAGGCACCCAATATGTATTCCTTGGATTTTTCCAACCTTCTAACTGGTTTCCCTGTTTCCATTTTCCTATTTATTCAATTCAGTCTTCACACAGCTTCCTAATACATAGGTCTAAACCAAAAACTTTTGCTTGTTCATTTAACAAATACTTATTAGAGATCTCTTCTATTTTGGGTACTATCCTAGTTACTGGGACAGAAAAGTAAGGTTTAAAGAATATATAGTCCTCTTTGAAATTTTTGATTTAGTAGGAGAATAAGAAACAAATTCAGGTAGCTTTAATACGCAACATTACATGAAAAATGCAATAAGGAAATGAAAAGCCAAGAGCTAAGTGGGATCTAAGGAGGCGGTTCTACCTGATGAACAATATCAGGGAAGGCTGTGAGGAGGGAATGGCATTTGAGTTGGGCTTTAAAAGATAGCTTGGAATTCACAAGGTGAAAGGCAAGAGGTGGGACATTCCTCATCTAAGCAATAGTATGAGCAAAGTCATAGAGACAGAAAAGGACAGAGTGTATTCCAGAGGAAGAGGACAGTCCATTTTGCCTAGAGGATAGAGTACGCAGAAGAAACTAACATGGTATGCAGGGAATACCACCTTCTGTCTCAAATTATAATGTATAGATTTAGGTGTTTTATATCCCTGTAGTAGAACATAAGCTCTTTGATGGAAGGAGCTATTTTATCTTTGCATCCCCAGCAGCTACCACAATGCCTTGCATGTAGCTTACTAAATACTTGTATTGGATAGATCAAAGGTAGAGAGGTTGGGGCCATAGGTTGTTGAAGTCTTTCAATGCCAAGCAGAGGTGCATAGGGCAATCTATACATAGTCGAATTGCTCAACTATAGGGTTAATAGAGGAAAGTAAGGCCAAATAATGTGATGGGTTGGAGGAACATGGGAGGATAGATAGAATAGAGGTCATGGTGAGGATGAAGAATTGGTTTAGGAGGTATGAGGTGAGGAGATAGATGGAAGAATAGGAGATTATTATCACAAAAGGGGATTTCAGAATTCACAATCACGAATTATGGCATAATTATGAGTAACAGTGAAATCTATTGTGTGACCATTCCTGCGGGTGGCCAGATGGTTTGAAAATAGAGGTGGTGGGTATTGAAGAAGATGATAAACTGGAAGGTCAAGGAATATCCACAAATATGTTGAAATATCATCCATTATGAAACAGGGGTAGAGGTGGAGAAGAAGAATGAGCTAGGTAATAATCTCCATCCCAAAGGAGAGACATACCACAGAGATGTTGTATCACATACCTGACTCTGTATCCCTAGAAGTTCAGATCTCAATGTCTTGATGCTCGGAATCTCTGATAAATGTGAGTCCTTTTAGCTCAGGCCTTGGCCATCCAAGGCCTTCCATAGTCTGTGGACTCTCTTTAGCCTTATTTCATAAACCTCCCCTTCAAATACTAAATCTTTTGGCTTTAATACACCATTCATCATCCTTCAGTCCTTTCCTGTTTTCCTGACACTGTTTCCCATAAACAAAACAGACTCCTCCCATCCCTAGTACGGACAGCATTGTCTTTCAAGGCCAAGTTCAGGTACTACATCCCTTGTGATGGCTTCCTTCATCCTCAGTCTCCACACCCACCCAGAGGTGATCCTTCCTTCCCTTCTTGCATCTCTCAGGCCACTCTGTTTGACCTCCCCTGTGCTGGTGAGCATTTTCTAACTTGCATTGTAGTTATCTGTGTACTTCCCTTACCTATACTATGCCATGTTGGCATATTACTACATGTTTGTTAGATTGATTTAAATGACTATACTGTATGATTCTCAAGGGTAGTGAAGTTTGGGTTGGGTTTGGTTTTGTTTAGTTTTTCCATCTTTTTCTCCATGGCACCCAGCACAGTACGTTGTGTATTTTTTTGTTTTTGTTTTTGTGTTTTGGACCAGACCTGTGATTTCATCAATGTAAGGAGCCCCCAGGGAATAACTTTGACTTCATTTGTAGATCAGCACTCTCTCTGTAATTTTATAGTTTGAGAGAGTTGCTTGGGGCATTGAGAGCTTAAGCGACTTGTCTGGGGTCAAACAGCAAAGTATGTGACAAAGATAGGACTTGAGGCCAGGTTTTCCTTACTCTAGGGCTAGCTTCTTGTCTGCTGAATTATATGGTCCTATCTTCACTCTGCCTCACCCTCCCTTTTTTATACATAGTGGGCACTGATAAATATTTCTTGAATTCTAATGCGGTGTCTGTCACATGTGTACTAGTATCAAGTCCAAATGATAGGACTGATGCCAGCTAGGGGGCACATTGGATAGAGCACTGGACCTAAAGTCAGGAAGACCTGAGTTCAAATGTGACCTCAGACACTAACTAGCTGTGTGACTCTGGGCAAGTCACTTAACCTCTGTTCCCCCTAGCTTTCTCATCTGTAAAAATGAGCTGGAAAAGGAAATGGCAAACTACTCAAGTATTTTTGCTGAGAAAACCCCACATAAGGTCACAAAAAGGTGGAAATGACTGAATATCAACAAAGAAATCAATCAGAATGGAGCACGGTAGTAGGCTGATTGTAAAGTAAGTTTGTTTGAATATGAATATATACACATACATACACATGTATACATATATGTATGTATACATATATAATACACATATGTGTATACATATACATATGAATGTGCATCTCTCACATGAATCCTTGTGAAATTATAATTGTCTTTGCTATTCTGCTCTCTCCATTGTTTTTGTGTTATCTATGCCTCATCTGTCCTCCATCAGT